ATATATATATATATATATATATATATATATATATATATATATATATATATATATATATATATATATATATATATATATATATATATATATATATATATATAATCAAAACAAAACAACATAAAGCCAAGTATACAGAAACGTACGTCGATCTGTGTCTCGTTGACTACATTTTTCTTCACATCCCAATGCGCCGCGTGCCATACTACGCCCAAAGGCCCCTGTGAGTTGAGGATGAATTTCGAATAAAACATTTCCAGCGGTTTATCTGCTAACCCAGTACAGCGCTAGCACCCGTATAGGTCGATTCCGTTGTATGTATAATTGCCAATATTGCTTTTCAGTACTCGTGTTAATTTGTAGAGGTTGATAAATAGTTAAAAGTAAGTATACGTAGCCATCACAAGTATTTATATAAATACTTTGCATAATAGTACTTCATAAAGCACACGACAACTCTCGAGCACAACTGACCGGTCTTTGACTCGTCAGACCCATAGTAGAAATACCGAGTACTTAGTTGTACTCAACGCCGGTATAGTCTTGTCGCCGATTTAACCCAACCCTATCTTACTGGACAAGCCCTATAGGCGGGAAAGTATCATTGGACGGCCTAGATCGATTCTGAGGGGGGGGAAAAATATCTTTTACTATTTTACATTTTGTAAAAAAACAAATCTATGTAGTATGATATATAAATAACGTAAATATGTAATTTCTCTACTTATTTACATACTTAGCAGCTATGAACCATGATACTTCATACTTGATCACAAGTTTACACACATAGCATCTTTGAATCATGATACTTGATATTTACTTGATCACAAGAAGTTGACGCCCCATCTCAATATTTCCAAAATATTAAATGCATCGATGATATGACACATATCGATGATATGACACATGTCGATGATATGACACATATCGATGATATGACACATGTCGATGATATGACACATATCGATGATATGACACACATCGACGGTATGACAGAATTCGAGGATATCATTGCAGCCATGATACTTGAACACAAGTTCGCAACTCATCTCGTGCTCATGCTCGTGTATCGTGTCTTTGCCGATGATTCTAACCATGCTATTTAGATGAACTAAGCTGGCACCGTCTCTTGCTGACCTATCTCACTATTTCGTGCTTAGAATAAATTGGCGTAGACGACCCACAATGATAACAACACAATGTTCACATTAAAACCAACGCACTGTTTAATATCCAGGTTGAACCATCTTCGTATACTTGCAAGGTGTGCCTTTTTTGTAGTGGTATTCTTCAGTGTAGATATTAGCCATATTCGATGCTGCAAAGCTCGTACGACTTTGGCTATCATAGCGCAACGATGAAACCATCGTAACCCTTGAAAATTTCGATAAACACACTAAACCTCTCTCAGTGTAGCAGACACGTAAAGTACATATTCTGAATTTTATTGCCATTTCGTTGAATTTCAAAAATCGATCTAACTTGATTATTGATGTGTCCGTGGGCGCAGAATATATAATATGCCAGCAATTTTGTACCTTTCTTCGCGACAATTACCGGGGTGATCCGAAAGATAGTTATAAATAGCATGAATCAAGGTTTATGGTCAGATGGCAGATTAGTGCTAAGTGACACTTTCGTGATATATACATATATATATACTTCGAACTACATATGAATGTATACGTACTTGCACAAATTCTTAAAATGTATAATATAGGCTTCACAAATGTATCGTGTTTAACAAATTATGTATGTAAAATGCACATGTGTGTATAAATGTGTAAATATTCAATATATTCCTAACAACCCTCCGCCAAAGACTCCCAATCGGTAAAACCCCCAATCATTGGTACATAGCAATACCTGCATACCAAAAAGTATAGTGATACTGGAAGAAATAAGATTTCACAGTAGCGCTCTACTAACTATCCCTTTTATTTGATAATGTTTGTACTATCACTCATCTAGCATACAGTACATCAGGCTCTGACTTAGTGTGACAATCGACTGTGACGCCACATTGGTTCTGCAGGCCTTTTGACAGACAACCAATACATAAAAAAAATTGGCTTTCATGTGAATAAATTAAAACATGATCCTCTTGAGAGAGAAAAGTATATTCCTTGACGCAAGATGGCCATGGATATAAATATGTACACATAAATGCATTCTTTAGATATTTATAGAATGACGTGACTAAATATCAGTACATAGTATTCATTTAACTTGAACAATTTAAGCTTCAATGAGTTTCACTTTTGAGGTTCTTTCAGCAGCAGGCTTTTTAGAATCTCGGGACTCAACCGTGAAGCGTGAACCTTCTGAACCGGGCCGGCCTCAAGTCCTCAGGACTCAGCCTCCCTCATGTCACCTGCACAAACGATCAAATTCTGCCATAGAAGGTATTTTTGTAAATACTTCCGTATAAATACCCCACAGCCACAAGGAGGAAGAATAAAATTCTGAAATAGGTTATAAATAAATAAAATAACAAATGTTGAAAGTTTACGTGTCAAACAAGTCTGTATTTTTAAATACATCTGTGTCTTCCAACGCTCATAGCCGCACCACGAGCAACAAACACTTTGCTAATGGAACACATCGAACACCATGTGTGAAAAGACCGCGTCCAACAAATGCTTTGAGGGTACCGTGGAGCAGTACTCGCATCAGAGGTGCGTGGTAAATCGAGGCTTACTGTTTGTGTATTGTTTATTGTCCAGATACTATTCACCGGATCGCGTCTGAATTGGTCGAATTTGTGCAAATTGTCCTGCGTAATATTGGATTTCTACAGCAGAAAATACAAGGAAAATGACTAGTTCTGGATGTCTCATTGAGAGACAGCTGAATTGTCTACGTTTCAATAGTGTGCATATTTGTCAATATATCATCTAAATGAACATTTCTGAACGCGAACCCTAACTTAGCTCTTGCATACCTTGGAGGCTCTGAAACATTGGTCGTCCGCTACTGGAGCGGGTGATGAACGGTTTCGTATTAGTCCTCGAAGTTTGCATGCATTGGTCTTCAATTAATTAATTATATATATTGTGTGTGTGTGTGTGTGTGTGTGTGTGTGTGTGTGTGTGTTGTCTATTGATATATGTGTATATGTATACACACGTGTGCGTGTGGATATATATATATATGTGTGTGTGTGTGTGTGTGTGTACACGTGTGTGTGTGTACATATATGTATATATATATGTGTGTGTGTGCGTGTGCGTGCGTGCGTATATATATATATATATATATATATATATATATATATATATTGTTTTTATATGTATGTGTACATATATATATGTGTGTGTGTGTACACATATGTATATATATATGTGTGTGTGTGCGTGTGCGTGCGTGCGTGTATATATATATATATATTGTTTTATATGTATATATATATATGTGTGTGTGTGTGTGTGGACGTGCATATATAGATAAATATCTTTGTTATACTCTGATATTTAGATAAACATAGAAATTCAAAATAATTTTTTGTTTGTGTATATATATATATATATGGATGTGTCTCTCTTTGCTTTCCTTTTCCATATTAGTACATTACACTATATGGCTAGAATGTTCTATTGTTACTTAGTCCCTAGTATGCTATCATATAATTGTATTTTTGTCAGTATGGCTATGTATCTATGAGTGATTCTGTGCACGCTTTGGATGGTTTCGGTCATGCTGATACAGGTCTAAGTATTCATATTCCATATTGATATGTACTGCCTAAGTATACCTCATGCCCATTGGTGTTTTCTGAAAATTCAAGAAATGATGGCACAGTTATGAGGCTATCGAAGACTTGCGTTTGAAATGTTGGGTTCATATGTGGAGAGAGTTGGAGCATAGTCCTCCTCGTCTCCGCATATATGTGAACTTGGCCATATTGATGCTTCAATTGATGCCCTTGTACCTATCTAGTCGTGCAGCTGTATCTTTGAGAATTAATACATGTGGTGGTACATTTGTGCTGGGGCTGGTTTTAGCGTGCGGGAGTATAAGATCAAACTGTACGTGTGTACTCGCGATTTGGCACAGACTTGCACATTTCATCTGCGGAATGGAGTGCACCGACCGAATGGTGATTCCAGGAATATAAATTTTTACAACTTGTTTGTCATTCTTAAATTGATAATCTATCGCGCGCGCATGTGTGCCTATTCAGTTGTACATTATATGGATATGTATTCCTTATCACTCGTCGCCCGTTCTCTTTCTCGCATGCAGTGATGTACTGAACTGCAAGATGTCCTTCACTGTCTTCCGGCCCGCCTCCAAAGACTCGAGTGCAAAGCTGCCCGTCCTGTTCTTCTTGAGTGGACTCACATGCACCGATCAGAACTTCATCACCAAGGCTGGTGCCCAGCGAGAGGCTTCCAAGCATGGCATTGTCCTGGTCTGTCCTGATACTTCGCCCCGAGGTGCTGGTGTCGAGGGCGAGGATGACAAGTACGATCTAGGTACCGGCGCAGGTATGTTTTCTGTACAACCGCCGACTACAGTGTCTGTAGTGGTTATGAATCCCTGGGTAGCAGTAGATACCAGGACCGGTATTAAAAAAAGAATTCACCAATATGGGCGGGCCTATCACAACAATGTCATTAATTACACGGTGACTGACTGGCCGCACAATATCTTGACTTACGCTTGGTCACAGGCTTCTATTTGGATGCAACCGAGCCCAAGTGGAGCAAGCACTACAACATGTACAGCTACATCACCAAAGAACTGCCCGAACTCGTGCACAAAACGTTTGGTACCGATCCCCAGAAGATGAGTATCATGGGCCATAGCATGGGCGGTATGGGAGCGCTGGCTATTGCACTAAAGAATCCCGGTGTGTACCAGAGTGTGTCTGTATTCTCGCCCATCGCGAATCCCACGGCCGTAGAGTGGGGGCAGAAGGCGTTCACGGTCTACCTGGGCGATGACAAGGAGAGTTGGAAGGTATGGGTTTGTTTCCGCATTGTGTTTGTGCTAATTGATCCTAGTTGGGGTGCTACAGCCAGCTGACTAGTTAGTTCATTAGTCGAGGACTGTGTGCTTTGGCTAGATAATTTGAGGCACAAGTAATCATGCTACACTTCAGGCTGTTGTGAAGGAAACCTGGGGGCGCTCCGTATGTGCAAAAAAAATATGGATTTTATTGACGTTGGCGGTATTGTGAGTGTTTCGGCGTTGTATTTTTTTGTGCTATTATTATCAGTTCCTTTGAGTTCGCATTGCGTGACTCTGGCCCGATGATTTATTCAGTCATGGATTGAAAGTTATATATATATGTATATGTATGTATGTATGTATATATATTTATATATATTTATATTTATATGTATATTTATATTTATATTGATATATTTATATTTAATATATAGCCTATACTGATTAGAAAACCTCCGGTGTAGTGGGCACATTGTACGTATGGCGAATATCGGTCGCAGCTCAGGAGAGATCGTAGAGTGCGTTTCTGCTGTGCTTTGTTTCGACGAAAGGTACTGTCTGTCTGATGACGTCTAATTCTTCTCGTATCGACGCAGGCGTACGATCCCTGTGAACTTGTTAAGAAGTACTCTGGACCGCCCATGGATATTTTAATCGACCAAGGTATGCAATACAGTACCGTCTAGCTAGTTGGCATGGGTGAGACACTTTTCTCCGAGAACTGCGAAGTGTAGTGAGTACCAGATCACTATAGGACCCGTTACGGATATATGTTATAAACTACTCCGCACCACAGTCGTATGCTGTTAAAATACATACGGTACTTAGTTCACAATGATTCATCTGTTGTTGTTTTTAATCTACTCCCTCAGGGTTGGACGATGAGTTCTACGTTGGCAATGCTCTCAGGCCTGAGTCTTTCACCAATGTGTGTCAGGAGGAAGGCATCCAGTGTGCGCTGCGTCTCCACGACGGTTATGACCACGGATACTACTTCATATCCACGTTTGTCTCAGACCATATAGTACACCATGCTAGGTACTTGTGCGAGTGAGCAGCAAAGAGTTTTGAGCTTGGTAATAGTTAAAATCGAATGCATTTCTCGCAAGGTAGAAAGTGCGCCTGATTCCTTGAATAAAGGGAATGTAAAGTAAGTACTTATATGGAAGCTCCCTGAGGACATATAGCAGTGTCTGTTTCATCCTGAAGCATTATATTTATAGCTCATATATTTTTAGAAGGCTGCGCATAAATATATTTCGAGCTGGGTCAAAGCTCCGTCTGCTTAATACAGACGGTTGACTGTCATGAACAAGAATTTGGAAATTATTGCCTACGTGTATATTATTCAACACTATGGAAAGTGTTGACTGTATATCTCTGTTGATACTAGTTGCACCGGGTGTTTTTGTGTGTGGATGTTTGCATATGTTATTGTGTGTACGCATCCATGCATTTGTATATAGATACATATAAATACACACACTCACATAAGCACAAATACATATATATATATATATATCTGTATATATATATACATGTGTATACGTACATATATATTTATGTATATATATATATGTGTGTGTGTGTGTGTATGTATGTATATATGCATATATATATGTGTAAGTATATATGTATATATATATATATATGCATACATTCATAAAAATATATATATACATATATATATATATTAAATATATGTATACGTATA